GTGGTAACTCAAAATTTTGGATTTCCCATCACTTTCAGTTCTGGGGACAATGGAAACCATTACAAATACAGAGGGTGATTCTTCCTAATGACACTATTCTTCCATGCTGACACTAGCTAAATGCTTGTAAGATATTACCATTTATATTTAGATTAGGATAAAAGAAGCACATGCATTGCACAGACTCAGCCTTGCAATCCATGACAAAATACAGCTGAAATAACCCTAAGGGCAAACAGGTAAAACCCTAGAGAGTAATATATTTCTATGCACAGCCTACATTAGCAACAACAACAAACACAAGATAACCCAGACAAATCTAAAAATGAAGGATGGAAACATTCATAATTCATAGTGGTCTGTTACAAAGACTGTGAAGATGAGAATAGCTCATGACTTTCTTAGGTCGATACAGCATTTAAAGTAGAATTTTGGTTTACCAAAATACAGTAATGAAGAATAATTTCAGTAATAGAGTATTATTACCATACAGAGTTTATATAGCGCCAAACTCAGGCTGTACAATAGAGGGGGGGACAATACATGAAACATTACAGCAACTACAAACAGCACACGAGTTATAGGGCCCTACTCTTTTACAGTCTATAGTGTTGGCTGTGGGGGATGGAGTGGTAGGAGGAATGAAGGAGAGCACAGCTTCCCTGACAGGGAGCGCCTGAAGGTGAGCAATGGATTGGGGTAGTGAGTTCCAAGGATGGGGGAGGACCTGGAACTTGCAACGTGCGTGTGAGGAGGAGACAGGGAGCAAGATCTGAAGAGCGAAGGGTACCTTGGGTTGGTGAGGTAGTTAGGGGCAAAATGGCTCAGAAAAATTTGAAGGATGGAAAGGGAGAGGCATTCATAATTCATAGGATGTCTGGTCCGGTGTTACAAAGAGATAATCTGTGAAGATGGGGTAAGAATATCTCATGACTGCATTCTGATAGGTCGATACTACCAGCAGCATACAGCAACTCCAAACAGCACACGAGCGATAGGGCCCTACTTTAGGCTTACAGTCTTGCTAGGAGGGAGGGGGGTAGTGGAGGAAGTGGCTGTGAGTAGGAGTGATTTGATGCCTGTTGGGCGATAGGGAGCCAGTGGGAGGAGAGGCAGAGGGGGGTGGTATTGGGAATTCAGAGTTGTGTATGAGCGGGTGGTGAGGTGGATGAGTCAGCTGAGTTGAGGATGGTCTGAAGCGGGGAGAGCCTGCACTGGGGTCTAGGCCGGTGAGGAGGGAGTTGCAGTAGTCAAGGCGTGAGATAATCAGGGAGTGCACAAGTAGTTTAGTGGTGTTCTGGGGTTTTTTGGATATTGCGGAGGTGGAGTCTGCATGTATTCCCAAACATGGTGGTGATGTTAGTAGTGATGGATAGGATGGGGGGGGGGCGCGGGCAGGAGGGAAAACGAGAAGCTCGGTTTTGGAGAGGTTGAGTTTGAGGAAATGGAGCGACATCCAGTCAGAGATGTCGTTTAGGAGGTGAGTGATGCGGGCGGAGAAAGTGGAGGTGAGGGGTGGAGAGGTAAATTTGAGTGTCATCAGCATAGAGATGGTAGTTGAAGCCGTGGGAGTGTATGAGTTTGCCAAGGGAGGAGGTGTAGATGGAGAAGAGAAGGGGTCCAAGGACAGAGCCCTGGGGGACCCCAACAAGAGGGGGAGTGAGGGGGAGGTGGCACCATTGTAGGTAATAGGTAATTTTAACAAGTTTGCTCTGTAACATAAAAAGGATTGAAGGAAGGGAGAGGTGCCAGGCCATCAATTGTGTAGCTTATTGTGTTTATTAGGAAGACATCAATATACAATTAAATTCACTCACAAAAGTTCGAGGTAACGGGCATCTTGTGAGAGGAGGTGAAGCCACTGTGAGCAAGTTATCATGCTGCAGATATGTGCAAACGAACGAAAACCATCCCCTATACATGATCCAATCTGATCTGGTAGGATTACCTTCTAATGATAGCAAAGGTAGCGCTGAGTGAATGTGCTTTTTTTCCAACCTTTTTTCTGACATTGACGAGTCCCTTTTCACACTTCCTGCAATCTAGTGATGACGTTGCAACTCATTCAGACAAACATCTCTGTTGTCTTACCCTTTGGGTCAGCCGTAATTTCTAGGGTTTCAGCGCAAAGCAATCATGCAGCCTCAGGCTGGGCTTGTATGTTGACTTTTGCTTTTCAATCAACAATAGATCACATATAGCCCTGCCCAGTCCAACCCACTGAAGTATGCCTAGACCCGACAAGTCCTGCCCAGCAAATCATGCCTAGTCAACGCAGATTACCAAATGGAATTGTGCGATATGTAATACAGGCAGCAGGAAGTAAATGGTGTTCTAGTGCAAATGCAAAGCTAAAACATAGTCCATTTTTACATTTGTAATTGGATAGGAGAAATTGTTGATGTAAACTTTTAGCAAACAATGACATATGGAGACTCCAGTCGCTTACATAATTTGACTCGCTCTACCTTTAGTTGCACTTTAAAGCAGTTTCTCTCATCTGCTTTGCATTCCTTTAATTCCTGATTTCTCGTCTAAACATAGGAATCCCCCCACTGCCTTCTGGGATGTCCACTACACACATTGCTGGAGGCAGCTTCAGTACAGGGCACATATGCACTGTGAATTCCCGCATGTTTGCAGACATGCCACAGGTTTCTTCAAGGTATTTGAGAAAAAGCAGAGACCTGTGGCATGTCTGCCTATGGGCAAGATCCCCCACACATTTGCACACATGCTGCAGGTCTCTATTAGAGCCTACATAACTGAAAGCAGCAGCATGTCCGCACACCTGTGGGAATCCCCACATATGAACAGACTTGCTACAGGTTTCTTCCACAACCTTGAATAGCTCCCATAGAATGACCTCAAGCAGGCCATTGGTGTGTATGTCTCTGACCAAACAATCAGAAACAGACATCGTGAGGCCCACCTGAGGGCCCGTCGTCCTCTAGTGGGCTCTGTGCTCACTGCCCAGCACCATAGAGCTCCATTGGCATTTGCCATTGAATGCCAGATTTCGCAGGTCTGCCACTGGGGCCCTGTGTTTTTCATATATTAGAGCAGGTTCACTCTGAGCACATGTGACAGAGGTGAAAGGGTGTGGAGAAGCTGTGGAGAACGTCTGACTGTAACATCGTTCAGCATGATCGTTTTGGTGGTGGGTCAATGATGGTCTGCGGAGGCATATTCATGGAGGGACGCACAGACCTCTACAGGCTAGACAATGGCAACCTGACTGCCATTAGGTATCAGGATGAAATCTTTGCACCCATTGTCAGACCCTACGCTGGTGCAATGGGTCCTGGGTTCCTCCTTGTGCATGACAATGCCCGGCTTTATGTGGCAAGAGTATGCAGGCAGTTCCTGGAGGCAGAAGGAATTGATACCATTGAATGGCCCCCACGCTCGCCTGACCTAAAGCCAATAGAACACCTCTGGGATATCATGTTTTGGTCCATCCGACGCTGCCAGGTTGCACCTCAGATTGTTCAGGAGCTCAGTGATGCCCTGGTCCAGATCTGGGAGGAAATACCCCAGGACACCATCCGTCGTCTCATTGGGAGCATGCCTTGACATTGTCAGGCATGCATACAAGCACGTGGGGGCCATACAAACTGCTGAGTACCATTTTGAGTTGCCGCAATGAAATTTTTGCAAAATGGACTAGCCTGCTGCATCATTTTTACACTTTTGATTTTCGGGGTGTCTTTGAATTCAGTCCTCTGTATGTTGATAATGTTCATTTCCATAAAACAATGGGGCATCCTTACATTCCTAACACATTACCCAGTCTATATCAGTATAGATATCCAGCATGATATTTTTCCTTGAGATCTGATGTATTTTCAACGTGTTCCTTTTATTTTTTTGAGCAGTGTACATGTTAAAACTTCATAATAAGTGCAGCTTGCCCGTCTAAGTCTTATATCCCATCCATAGATGAAATTGGGTTTTTATATCATAAATACTTGATTTAATAGTGAGCAGATTCAGCCTGGGTTCACATATATGTAGTAAAGTATATCACATGTGATTCGCACAGGAACCGCACCACATTCCTGTGCAAATCACATGCGATTTGTGTGCGGTGCGATTGGAGCCATACATTTTGTATGGCTCTAATTGCACCGCACCCGCACCAAAAAGGTGCAGGACCCTTTTTTAGGTCCGCACTAGAATAGGATTGCATGGATATTCACACCTATGCGATCCGATTCTGCACATCGCACGGCGTTTTGCGGACCGGTTTTTGGGGTGTTGTTAACTTAACTCACACATCCGCAGCGATTATGATGCAGTGCGTAATTCGCACTGAAATCGCTGTGAATTCCGCACCGCATCAGTGTGAACCTGGGCTAAAAGTATAACTAAATTCCCAGCGCAATTTGCTGACATATATATGATATAAATATGAAGTGTGATTTCAATGAAAATAGTGAGCACAATTTACATACAATAGTTAGGTACTGGAAAAGGAGCTGAACTGCTCAAAGTTCTGTCCAGAAACCAAAACTGTTTTCTTACAGCCATCTATAGTTATACTGTGCACAATGGATTTAATTGATTGATTCAAGCATTATCATATTTATAAGATGCAAACTGAACAATGACATTAGTTATGATACTTCAGGTATTCAAATAGTACATTTTAAGTATTCATGATAGGCCAATTGTGTACTATAAGACTTCGAAAGACTGGCAGGTGGCAGTTATGATGTTTTAACATATATTTTATTGGTTTGGTTTACATGCAATAAAGTTGTTTTAGTATGCATATGGTATTCTCCCTGCATTTCTGGGGGGAGAGTCCAGTGGTGGAATAATTTGTTTTAGAGCATGCCTCCCCATCAGGAGAACACAATGCTCCAAAAGAAGGAATCCCCCAACAACACTAGCTGTGTTGCTGGGGGAATCAAGGATTTTCTTTCCAGTAACCTGTGGTTGCAGGAAACAAAATCGAATCATCTATGGCTAGCTTTACCCTTGGTCTCCTAAGCTCATGCAGAGTTTAGGTCCTTGAAGGCACAATAGTTGTGTGTACACAAACTATATTCTACACTCTCAACAACAAATAATGACTTACGGTTTTCCATTTCTGCTTCTTGGGGTAAAACTTTAAAATCCAGAAACCAGACTTCTATCCAAGCCAAGATAAAGGACACGATAGGAAGTACATATCCAAAAGCACCTTGGTAAAATAACTGGGAAAACAAAAAGGCATTCTCAATCATTTACTATACAGTAGGATGAAATCATTTAATTGATTAATCTTTTAACATTACCTTAGATAAAATTACTTTTACTATCAGGAAGGCACAAGTTGTTGCGGTTGTTAACTAAAAAAAAAAAAAAAACAACATTTTGAAAATGTGAAAGCATTGTAAATAAGCAAATAATTCAGCTAATTTTTCTAGCACAGAATTTAAAAGAGAAAATCCATGTTATTCTTTACATTAGGCAACATTTTCACCTGCTCTTTAAATAATGCCCCTCTTAATATATACTGCTCAAAAAATTAAAGGAACACTTTTTAATCACAGTATAGCATCAAGTCAATGAAACTCCTGGGATATTGATCTGGTCAGTTAAGTAGCAGAGGGGGTTCGTAATCAGTTTCAGCTGCTTTGGTGTTAATGAAATTAACAAGTGCACTAGATGGGCAACAATGAGGTGACACCCAAAACAGGAATGGCTTTACAGGTGGAGGCACTGACATTTTTTCCCTATTCATCTCTTCTGTTTTTCATTAGTTTTGCATTTGGCTAGGGTCAGTGTCACTACTGGTAGCATGAGACAATACCTGGACCCTACAGAGGCTGCACAGGCAGTCCAACTCCTCCAGGATGGCACATCAATACATGTCATTGTGAGAAGGTTTGCTGTGTCTCCCAGCACAGTCTCAAAAACATGGAGGAGATTCCAGGAGACAGGCAGTTACTTTAGGAGAGAGCTGGACAGGGCCATAGAAGGTCCTTAAGGCGGAGTTCCACTCGACCTATCAAAAAAGAAAAGTCAGCAGCTACAAAAACTGTAGCTGCTGACTTTGAAAAAACAGCCACTTACACCTAGGCGATCAGACCAGAAGTGAGAGCAGGTATGTGTCAAATTCGGGTACCCACTCCCCAAAGGTGCCAATCCTTAATGAGGAGCTGGGGAGCAGTCCTTAAAGCGGATCTTCCCCTTTTGGGTGGAGCTCCGCTTTAACCCATCAGCAGGACCAGTATCTGTTCCTTTGTGCAAGGAGGAACAGGATGAGCACTGCCAGAGCCCTACAAAATGACCTCCAGCAGGCCACTGGTGTGAATGTCTCTGACCAAACAATCAGAAACAGACTTCATGAGGGTGGCCTGAGGGTGCAACGTCCTCTATTGGGCCCTGGGCTCACTGCCCGGCACCATAGAGCTTGGCTGGCATTTGCCACTGAACACCAGAATTGGCAGCCACTGGCACCCTGTGCTTTTCAAAGAGACGTGAAAGGGTCTGGAGAAGCCATTATGGTGCCTGTAACATCGTGCAGCATGGCTGTTTTGGTGGTGGGTCAGTGATGGTCTGGGGAGGCATATCCATGGAGGGACACAGAGACCTCTATGATCTAGACAATGGCACAATGACTGCCATTAGGTATCGGGATGAAATCCTTGGATCCATTGTTAGACCCTACGCTGGTGCAGTGGGTCCTGGGTTCCTCCCAGTGCACGACAATGACGGCCTCATGTGGTAAGAGAATGCGGCAGTTCCTGCAGGATGCAGGAATTGTAACCATTGAATGACACCAACGCCATGTCCCCTGACCTAAATCCAATAGAACACCCCTGGGATATGTTTCGTTCCATCCGACGCCGCCAGGTTGCACCTCAGACTGTCCAGAAGCTCAGTGATGCCCTATTGCAGACCTGAGGAGGAAATACCCCAGGACACCATCCATCATCTCATTAGGAGCATGCCCCAATGATTTCAGGCATGCATACAAGCACATGGGGCCATACAAACTACTGAGTACCAGTAGAATATCCAGTATGATATTTTTTCCCATTGAGATCTGATGTGTTTTCAAAGTGTACCTTAATTTTTTTTGAGCAGTGTATATGCTTTCTTCCATCTTCTCCCCTAATAAACTCTAAGACCACGCTCACATGGCAGCCGTCGGCAGTAAGAATAGGCAATAAAGCCACAGTTTTACCTCCCAGTCGCAAATTACCATGGCCACTAGCCATATTAGTACACACTGCCGCAGCTACGCCACAAGTGAACGAGGCTCAGCTGCAACTGCAATGCTGTGGGCTTTTAAGGGTTAAAATAGGCATTGAGGAGTTTACCACCTTTGAGCCACCTGTGAAATGCTTCTGGATCACTTTTTAGAGGGGCAGCCATGACTGTAGCTTTTGAAAATAAGCCCTATGGGGAAATTTGGAGTGGAAATTAATCAATAGAATAGAAAATGGGTACTTCAGCTAATTTAAGTTGGCAAACTGTAGATGAACAATGCTATGAAAACATTAACCAAAGTTAGAAATATAAACTAGGAGCACACACCTAGTTCTGAGACCACGACATAGATGAGCATGGTTCCAGATAGTGCTATCACCATGAAATCCAACCATGGTAATCACCAGAAATTGGTTTATCAACTTTTCTTGCCTGCAGGTGGCACTGTGCCTCTTTCTCTGTGAACCTACTGTGCACAGAGAAAAAGCTACAGTGTTAGAAAGCATTACATTGTGTAAAAATAAATTACATTATTCTAAATAGTAGAAAAAGCTTACTTCAAAATGTATTGTAAATGCTACTATAAAATGTCCTATTTTTTTTCGATTTGTTAATTTATTTAAAAAATGTGAGCAGTGTATTGATTAAAACAATAAAAAACCCAACATAGCCTTAAAAAGTGTAAGCGTCCTTTCACATGGAGTGGACCAGTTTAGCAGATCTGCTGGCTCAGTGGGGAGTTCTCCGCTGAACAAGCAGATGACAGGTCTGTGCCTGCTCTGCTGCTGCAGAGCGGACACAGAGCAGCTCGCTCTCCTCAATGGGCGGTAGGATGAAAATGGACCACCTGTCCGTTTTAATCAAACCCAATGGACGAGAGGGGACTTGGATCCCCTTTCATTCCTTTTTTTTCGGGTCGGTTCGGATTGGATGTTGGCAGTGTAAATACACCCGCAATCCATAGAGAAGAACAGAGGTTCTGTTCGGTCTGCCTGAAAAACGGGCAGGGGGACCCGATCGAACATCAGTGTGAAAGGGCCCTAAAAAGTCATGCAAGTGTTAGTAAAAAGTTGTAAAATCTTTTACCAAAATGCTAAAATCAAAATATGCAAGGTCAGTGTGTGTATTATGTATTACAGTAAGTATAAGCAAATAAAAATTTAGCTTGTTTACACATCAGAATATTTGAGAAGCATTGAAAGAGACACTCACTGCTACTGCCCACCAGTGGCGTAGTTTGCAAATTGCATATGCAGCAACAAGCACAATAAATCGAAAGAATGACAGCAACTGTAAAAAAGAAAGCAAAGAGCTTGAGGTTAAAAAAAAAAAAAATTTTACAGAATAATAAAGTATATGTACACCCAACTACAAAAATCACATATAAATTTAACATATGTAAATGTCATTTCAGACGTCATTTTGAATGTTGTCAAATCTGTGGCTTAGATTAAAGTATTTGTAAACCCTCACCGTGTGAAACAACCAATTCAGTTTAAAATAGAAATCAAAGGTAGAACATTTGTGGATATAAAAAACATCATAAATACTTTTTTACGTCTTTTCTATAAGTGATCACATACCCTTTGCTGTCAGCTGCACAAGGAGCTCAGGGAATAGAAACAGCAGCTGACAGCAGAGGGTATGTGATCACTTATAAAAAAGACAAAAAATGTATTTATAATGTTTTATAATGAACTCAGCCTGCTCCCCTCCAATGATCAGACTTGTGTCTTCCCAGTGAATGGCTGTGCATGTCAGCACAAGTCTGATCATTGGAGGAGAGCAGGCTGAGTTCCCAGCATAGCTAGACAGCTGACCACACTGTGCTCTCATGCCTAGTGTGGTCAATCTTTAATAGAAAAACAGAGGGACTGGCAGGAACAGCAGGGATTTCACACAAAGGAATCAGTACATGGTACAACAGACACAAATCAGGAATATGAAATGTTGGGTTTACATTTTCATTAAAATAATATCTGGTGATCTTGCCATGAATGTCCTTGTCCAGGTACTTTCTGTTATGCGGTGACAAAGCTCTATCCCAAATGTTTTCATGAACTGTCATCCTGTCACACACTCTCCCTATGGAGACTATAGGTGGCAAGCCCACACATGTGCCACTCTTATCACCATCAGGAAACCTGCCCTGAGATATCATATGCAGCAGTTGATGGAGTGCATGTGTATACACTTGATGTAGCTGCAGAAAAAGGCTGGAGGAGATCAGCAGTGATGATATGCAGAAAAGGATGAATAAGGTCAAAACAGTGTTCTCTTTAAAAATAGCCATTGCTTATGCCACACAATGCTTTAATAAACTAAATGTTATTTAGTTACTTTACCTGTACATTAAGGGGGAACTGAGATGCCCAGCAAGTACTCCTTTTTTGAAGCACTACTATACAATTTACCAAAAAGGAATTGTATTTATTCTCTGTGTTTTACACACTTGATGAACCTTATTTTCAGGCAATACTGTATGGTAATAGACTGTATAATTTTAAATCTGTAAGTGTGCTTTAAACCTGAAATTTGGGCACATATAAAACCACTACTTAATCTAGTTACGCGTTCGTTATTCTTATCAAAAGGCACGGAAGTTTCACAAGTATCTAGCATAAGAAACTGAAACTGTCAACATGTCAGGCAGTTCCACGACTAGGACTGTATTGCCTAAAGGAGAACTCCAGACATATTTTTTCTGTTCCATTTTCTAATTGCCTCTGGTGCTTGGTAGAAAAATGTTCTGCTCTTTATTTTCCCCCTCCCTACTGTGTGCCTCCAAACTTTCACTGGAGGGCATTACAGCAGGCACACTTTCAAACTACAGATACCCAGTCTACCAGATGATCCAGTGACTGTCTTAAGATGGTCATATATGGATCAAAATTTGGTTCAGCTGAATTGGCTGAAAATTGCTTCAAAGGGGGCCCTGTCGACACCACCTAGCTTGACAAAAGTGAGTTTTCAATAGAATATTGTCAAAGGAGCCAGGCAAAAATGTCTCTGCTTTATAGTGCTTGCATTCATTCGGATGCAGGTACTGTCCAGTTATTCTAACAGTCATGAATCTTAGCTGTCAGAACACAATAGCCTGCACTGAAGATTCATCCACTTAAGATGTTCAGTCGGGGCAACTAACTCATTTTGGTTGTTCAACCCACAGGGCTTAACATGTATGGCCAGTTTAAGACAAGTCCCTTAGGCTTTGGGGGTGTCAATCATTGCTGCCGTGTCCTATGTGGTGCATAGACTTTCACAGAACCTGTTTCATCTGCATGAGAAAGAGTTACTACATAGCCTGGCCCCTTCATGTACAGACTGAATCCTATGACTCAGGAACTGAAGCTAAGGCTGGCCATACGTGGCTCAGTTTTTTTTCATTTAGCCAGCACGCTGAATGAAAAAAAAAAAAAAAAAAAAGCTTCCCTTATCCACAAATTCCAAGTGGATGCGGGAATCCCCCACTCCCCAGCTGTGTCAGTGCATTCTGACAGTGGAGGAGACAGCTGGACTGCTCCACTGTTAGGGTGTCTTTGAATACAGTCCTCTGTAGGTTGATAATTTTCATTTCCATCAAACGATGGGGCATCCTTACATTCCTAACACATTACCCAGTCCATATCAGTATACAGTATCTCACAAAAGTGAGTACACCCCATATCTTTTCATGTGACAACACTGAAGAAATGACACTTTGCTACAAGTAGAAAAAAATGCTGGCAACAAAAGGGAGTGAACCCCAAGTGAAAATGTCCAAATTGGGTCCAAAGTGTCAATATTTAGTGTGGCCACCATTAATTTCCAGCACTGCCTTAACCCTCTTGGGCATGGAGTTCTCCAGAGCTTCACAGGTTGCCACTGGAGTCCTCTTCCACTCCTCCATGACGACATCACAGAGCTGGTGGATGATAGAGACCTTGCACTCCTCCACCTTCCATTTGAGTATGCCCCACAGATGCTCAATAGGGTTTAGGTCTGGAGACATGCTTGGCCATTCCATCACCTTTACCCTCAGCTTCTTTAGCAAGGCAGTGGTCGTTTTGGAGGTGTGTTTGGGGTCGTTATCATGTTGGAATACTGCCCTGCGCCCAGTTTTCGAAGGGAGGGGATCATGCTCTGCTTCAGTATGTCACAGTACATGTTAGCATACATGGTCCCCTCAACGAACTGTAGCTCCCCAGTGCCGGCAGCACTCATGCAGCCCCAGACCAAGACACTCCCACCATCATGCTTGACTGTAGGCAAGACACACTTGTCTTTGTCCTCCTCACCTGGTTGCTGCCACACACGTTTGACACCATCTGAACCAAATAAGTTTATCTTGGTCTCATCAGACCACAGGACATGGTTCTAGTAATCCATGCATCTTCTTTAGAAGTGGTTTCCTTCTGGGGTGACAGCCATGCAGACCAATTTGATGCAGTGTGCATTGTATGGTCTGAGCACTGACAAGCTGACCACCCACCCCTTCAACCTCTGCAGCAATGCTGGCAGCACTCATACATCTATTTCCCAAAGACAACCTCTGGACATGACGTCGAGCACGTGCACTCTGTATGGTCTTGGCCACCATGCTGCAGCTCAGTTTCAGGGTCTTGGCAATCTTCTTATAGCCTAGGTCATCTTTATGTAGAGCAACAATTCTTTTTTTCAGATCCTCAGAAAATACTTGAAAATGCCATGAGGTGCCATGTTGAACTTCCAGTGACCAGTATGAGAGAGTGAGAGAGATAACACGAAATTTAACACACCTGCTCCCCATTCACACCTGAGACCTTGTAACACTAACGAGTCACATGACACCGGGGAGAGAAAATGGCTAACTGGGCCCAATTTGGACATTTTCACTTAGGTGTGTACTCACTTTTGTTGGCAGCAGTTTAGAGATCAATGGCTGTGTGTTGAGTAATTTTGAGGGGACAGCAAATTTACACTGTTATATGTACAAGCTGTACACTCACTACTTTACATTGTAGCAAAGTGTCATTTCTTCAGTGTTGTCACATGAAAATATATAATAAAATATTTACAAAAATGTGAGGGGGAGAGAGAGAGAGAGAGAGACAGACAGACAAACACACAGAGCCTATATATATATATACTTACAAATATGTCAAAAAATGAATAGTAGTAGTCATATTGTAAAACTTCTTTCTGCAAGGCCTCAATAATATTAGTTTTTGCCTAAGAAACAAAAAATATATGGTTTACTTGGCATTAACTCTCACCAAAAAAAAACTCCAATACTACATACTTTAATATACAAACAATTTCTAACTGATACAATAATACTCTATTACTAACTTGCCTCGAGAATGGCTTTTTTAGAGCATCAAAAAACTCTTTTGGTCCAAGTTAGCACCTTGCAGGTTTTTCTTTTGTTTAAAACATCACTACAAAGGCCTGTAAAAGATCCTATATCTATACCCCAAACTGTTCTTTTTAGTTGTGAATAGAATAGAGATAGTTTAGAACCCCAGTTAGGTGTTACTGCTTTCCTGAGCTCTATTAGAGAGCTTTCCCCTCACTTACTGTTTTGTGGACAAACTAATACCAGATAGGCAGCGAGAGTAAATCTGCAACAAGGAAACAGACAACAACAAATGGTTGACAGAGGTTTTAGCATTCCTCTAATTAAAGCAGTAGTAAAGTTTTGTTGCTAAAAGAAGAAATGGGCCACTCTGCAGGTTTAAAAGAGAAATACAGCCAAAGCTTGTTTTGCAAATCTTTGCATTCTGCACTCTTGTGACCTCAGCTGACAGCTTGCTAAAGTCCTTTGTCGGCTGACCTCACTCAGCTCATTCAGGCTGGGGAAGATCACAAGCGTATGGTGGGGAACCACCCAGGAGCGTGGACCAGCACTTGGCTCAGCCTCTCATCGAGCCTCTGAGAGCCTGAGACAGCCGCTCCAACCCCCCTCTACAGCCCAGTGCTCCAGTGAGTGCTGGGGGGGCAGACAGTATACAGTATTTGCTGTACAGGCAGGCTACATATGTAATAAATATGGCATTTTTGTATGTGTTTGTCATAAAAACACTAGGAAGCTGCCATGGGCTGTCAGTTTTAGCATGGAGCTCAGCAGTCCATGTCTTCATTAGTCTGGACACATCCACTGCAAAGTACTCCATTCAACAACATTCACGGTTCGTATTTTTGAGTAGCTATTTTTCTATCTCAGCTATACTGAATAGGAGGAGAGTACTGCACCAAAAATTGCATTTTTTTAATTTGGACTATTAAGCTGAATATGGTGACTATACATTTTATATACAGATTGTAAAATCTCCTTAAGATTTACCAAGTCTACTGTGAGGGCCTCTAGAAGGCAATTTGATTCTTTTTTTACTACTAGGTAGGTTTTTGAATTACAGTTTTTGGTAGCTCAAAAGGAGACTGTACTAAACTTTTCAGGAGAATGGTTATATGGAAATCATGAACACAACCATTTCATGGATTTCTTTTTGCAGTCTTCATGTATAAAACATCACAGCATGATGAATGCAGAACAGATGCTTACAAAAGTCTGCATTACATCATTTATACTATGATGTGCAAAAGAAACCCACTGGGGAGGCTAGGAACCAGACATAACAGGAATGCTTTGGGTTGTGAGCAGGGAACCAGAGAACCTGTTTTAAAAGCTTTGAATGAATATTAATTAAATGGTCTGTGTTGTGCAAATTAATTTATTTTTCTTACTTGTTTGCATCTAGAATGTTGATTTCACTTACAGTAATACATTATACCATACCAATGATCTTTGTGAAATATATTGCTATGCATTTGAAAATATTATTACATAACTCGTACAATCCTCCAAATGACACAGATAAGCTAATCTTTTTTAAATAATGCAGTATTTTGTATATAAATCCATTTTCAAGACTTATACTGCAGCTAGGCCTCCCATTACCATCATTCTACATCCTTGCTTAATCTACATCAGGGTTTTGCGTAAATTTCCCATGGGTTATGCAAAGATAAAACCATAAACTGAAAACAGCTGATGGGTAGATCGCATCCCCACAATTCCCCCGCATGCAGATTGGCACAGGGAAGCAACAAATGTCTCCAGTGTCCCCTCCTGTCCATCCCAGGTGCTTGTATGTGACATCACATGGGATGGATGAGAGATGAAGGCCAGCGGGGAACAGCATGCCACAACAGGACTCTTATCACAGCAGCTTCCCCACATAGCTCTGCATAAGTTTGTGACTGAACCGCTTTTAGATTGCTGCCTCCCAGTACTGTACCTCGCTGCTGCACCCCATGTAAGGTGCCCTGCTACTACCCCCTGTACCCTGCCTTGCTGCTCCCAGAGCTCTGCCCTGCTGACCCCCTGAGCTCTGCCCTGTTGCTCCCTGAGCTCTGCCCTGCTGACCCCGAGCTCTGTCCTGCTGAATCTCTGTGCTGTGCCCTGATGTGACCCTCTGTATCCCTCCCGGCTGAACTCCTGTACACTGTTTTTCTCACGTTCAATTTAGATCGGAGCATCTGTAAAGAAAAAAAGCAAGCACAAGTCTCATATTAAATAGGAAAGTTGTATTATTTTCTCTAATATTTAATGCTGTTTCTAAAAATAGTTGTTGCTATATCAACAGCTCGCTGATCACACCAATGTTCTGTGAGCTGTAGATCTGAACATTATTTAAGGGGTTCCTCGAGATCTCAAACCTTTTGCCACGGGTTCCTCCAAGGTAAACAAAGTTGAGAAACCCTGGTCTACATCCTCCATTATGCACCTATTTCATTGCAAACCTACAGTGACCTGGTGATTTTCATATGCTATTAGACAATTCTGATGATGTAAGGAGATTCTAACTAACTTTTAAGAGGTATCGAACTTAAAAAAAACTAAGTGCCTAGGAAAAATAGTTTTAGGGTCATTCATGAATATACACATTGCTCCCACAGCCATATAAAATGTTAGTTATTTCAGTTTGTAATGACATTTCAGACTGCTATGTTTTTGATTATACGGTCTTGATCACAAATGTCAGCAAAAAAGGTATTTTTCCTAAATAAAAGTGCTACAGATCCTAGACAGTGTCCACTGCCAATGGTACAAGCAAACATAGATTAAGATCCAAAATGTCAGCAGTAGCAGAAACTAGATCTAATCATATTGCTCTCTAGTGCTTTATCGCTGCTGCACAACGGTCTTACAGTTGGTTTTCTTAGGAAAGTAGCCTCAGCTTTAGCAGACATGGCTGTCCCTTGCCAGCATCTTTGTGTGGAAGCAAGAGTCACTCTGTACAGGTGCAACACACCCACTGCTGAGACAGACCTAGAGCTCTGCAATTGGCAAAGCTCTCTGCAGACTGACACAGAACAGAAGAGGGTGTATGCCAGACCCCTGCAAAGAGACAGAGAGGCTTTTTTGCACAGAATTTGGCTGCTTTCTAAAGAAAAACAAACTATTAGACTGTGCACGCCTTTCGTTGTCCTGCACCAGGAATAATTAGCTTAGCTGATTTGAACTGAAAGTTCATTTGGGCTTTAAAGAACACATGGACAAAGCATAAATAAAAAAACTCACATTTAGTTCTATGATCCACAGCAGAGTGACAAACAAGACATCAAAGGTGGCAAAGAGGCAGAAGGTTCTTCTGACATCAGATATACTTTTCTTCCCTGAGCTCTCATAGGATTCAAGCCTGGCCACAAACTCAGCACTGGTAATGGAATGGGCGTCATGAACAGAGCTGCGTGAACCCCAAATACTGTTCTGAGAGTGGTCGGTGTCACCTGTCTGCAGGTTCATCTTGAGCGTGATGAGAATGACAACGTCCTGCTCCTAGCATCACTTAAATGGGTCTGCATCTCTGAAAATAAAATACACAAATCAACCACATTGCATGCACTAGCATTTTGCGCATTCTTCAATCTCATAATTTTAAAGGATATGTTCACCTTTGTGAACATGTTACAACCATATTTAGGAGAAATATGAAAATCAGGTAGCGCTAGAAATTTTTTTTTAGAAATTATTTTATGCAGAACTGTATACCTTTAAAATCTAATGTGTTTTGAGGATCAAAGGGTCATCAAAGGAAATAATTTTCATGTGTGAGAAAATCTGTGTGAGAGTTACGTGTACATGTTTGGGCCCTGATTGCATGTACATGATAGTTAAACTGTATGTTTTCTGTTTGCTTATATAATGTTATCTTTATCTTTCTTCTGCTTTAAAGGATAAGTTCACCTTTCCACAAAACATAATAAATGCATATTTTTTTGCAGGTAAAAAAACTAGCATTTATTATTTTTTGTGTTAAGAGCCTCTAAAGCATTGTACGAGCAATCAGCAGATCGCTGATACCATGCAGGTCTCCTGCAGACTGTCAATGCATCTGCCTGCTCGTACATCCAGTGCGAGCAAGCCGATACTTCTGACAGGAAGAATCAATGAACTACCTTGGCGCTCACAGTGTCGTGATAGTTCATTGAGGACTACAAGCCGATAGCCGCAAAGGCTGTCGGGACCTGTAGTTCATTCATTCAGAGGACTGTGAATGAATGACGTGGCAAGGCGGGGGCGGGGCCCCACTCAGCCCCTCTGTTTTTGAAAAGTGACAGCTAGTATGGGGAACTTCTCCCCATACTTCTCTCATAGGGAGAGGGGGGCAGCAGGGCAGCAGGAGGCAGCTTCAAAATTGGGAACATGTTACATGTTCCACCCTAAAAAAACGTGTGGAACGTGTAACATGTTCCCAATGGTGAACTTATCCTTGAATTTTTAAAATATTCACTGGGTCAAAACTGTTTTATGAGCCACACACAGACGTATTTCTTCCTCCATGCACCCCTGAAAGCTTTCAAGATTTAAAAAAAAATAAAACATTAATGTGTCTCTGGCTGTGTTCCACTTGATAAGTTACATTTCCTTACGTAATTTTGCAAATACATACTTCAAGATGTGTTTATGGTCCCTTGGTCTGTCATTAAATATTGTAAATTACATTTTTGAATTTAATAAATTCGAAGGGCCATAAACTTTTTCTGAAACAATGGTAGGTGAGGTCCTCAGCAGAGATAACATGGCCCCTAGCCCTCTTAATTAGGCCCACTGTCTTGTTTTTTATCAGAGTTTGACATGCCTGCTCTAAGAATTAATTCAATAGAAAAAAAATCAAACTAGAGTCATTGGTTTGAATCCCAACCATGGCACCACCTGCCCGGAGTTTGCATGTTCTTCCTGTGCCTGCAAGGGTTTCCTTCATGTACTCCGGTTTCCTCCCACACTCCAAAGACATGCTGGTAGGTTAATTGGTTCCTGTCTAAATTTGCCCTAGTATGTGTATGTATGAATGTAAGTTAGGGACCTTAGATTGTACACCCCTGAGGGTTAGGGACTGATGTAAATGTACAATATATATGTAAAGCGCTGTGTAAATTGACAGCGCTATATAAATACCTGTGATAAATAAAATAAATTAAATAAGTGTGTGTAAGGTCTTATGACAATCATTCTAAAGTTCGGACTGCCAGCACCGCAATCAGTCCCTGATGGAGAGATATGTCCTTCATCCCCTTTAAGACCCTGTTCACATACAGTGCAGTGACCTGCGCTTTACTGCACTAGAAGAACACAAGTCACAACTAAGACACACAGAAAACAACAGATTTTTGTGTGTCCTAGTCACACTGCAATGCACCCTAGTGAGCTGCGATAAAATGAAAACATGCTGCACTTTATCGAAGCACACAGGATGGAATTGAATGGCACTGTACAACAACGCAACCCACTGTGCTGTTACACAGTGATATGAATCAAGTGCCACTTTTGTGCACTTGAAATAAAGTTCATACAAAAAAAAAAAAAAGAAAAAAGGGGAGCTGTGTGATGTGCTGAAACACGCATCTCACAGTCCCCCTAACACCAGCGCACTACGGTCGGAACACAACTGCAATTTAGTGTGCAGCAGCTGTCTGGGGCACCATGAACAGGCCCTAAGACTGGATACCGCCTTCTGCAATCTGGGGGCAAAGAGGAAGTGGAGTAGGAGAGAGACCCTGAGTCCAGAGCTGCACCAGAAATGGCCCACCCACCTCTCCTCAGGGCTTCTGTGGCCTCTAGTCCATTATGGTGCCTCCATCAGTTGGGACCTGTTCCACTCTGCAGCATCGATCCTCCCCACTACACTCTCCATGGAGTACTGAAAGCGCTACTGCAGCCCTTCCTGAACTGCAGCATACAGATGAGCCACTGGACTGTAGCCTAGTTCTACAACCCAAAGTGCATTCAAAACCTCTGAGGGTTCAGGAAATCCAGTGTTACAAGCACACCCCAAACAGGCTCAAAGTTAACACTGGACACCACTGCAACATGGGCAGCACAGTGGCTAAATGTTTAGCACTTCCGCCTCGCAGTACTAGGGTCGTTGGTTCGAATCCCAGCCACGGCACCTCCTGCCTGGAGTTTGCATGTTCTCCCTGTGCCTGCGTGGGTGTCCTCTGGGTACTTCGGTTTCCTCCCACACTCCAAAGACATGCTGGTAGGTTAATTGGCTCCTGTCTAAATTGGCCCTAGTATGTGTATGTATGAATGTGAGTTAGGGACCTTAGATTGTACGCCCCTTGAGGGTTAGGGACTGATGTGAATGTACAAAATATATATATGTAAAGCGCTGTTTAAAATTGACGGCGCTATACAAGTACCTGAAATAAATAAAATAAACATGGTACACCCCAAACAGCCCTCACCCCAGCCTCCCAGCGCCCACCATCATTTTACTGACACAGTGGCAAATTCCCCTCCCACTTTAAGCTGCACCCACTCTTAGAGTTTGGCCACGCCCCTGCTATGCCCTCAGCCCCACTCCAACTGAGGGGTACAATTTATGCATGCATTCTTTAGCGCACCTTATGAGAATGGAAGGGAATTAAGTGGAGCATTATTTGGTTATTCAATGCACCCTACAACCTGGAAACACGCTGTAATCAGTAAAGCATTGTCAGTGTAAGGTTTGCATGATAGGTTCATGGATCGAGGTTTCTTTGCACACATATATCCTTGTGCTCGTATGGTTCCCCAATACAAACATATCCTAGTGATCTATCCATGTTGCTGTTTCTTTCATTGTTAATAGGAACTGATGTCTGGAGGCTATGCCCAAAATAAGGCAGGTAGAGGGAAAAGGACTAGTCAATAGCACTGCCTATGGTCTTCCTGCAGCTGATGATTACTTATCATTCCTTGTTCTGCACTGTGCCTCTGTGTGAAGGCAGCCATCTTAGTAGAGGCAGGGCTTTCCTTCCAAATATCAGAGCCTACAAGCAAGTAAAACAGTGAGTGGCACTGCAGACATCAACAAATCTTACTCTAAGGCTTCATGCCCACTGGGGCTCTTCTAAACACTTTTCTCCTGCAAGGGAAAAGGAGCTGCAAAAACGTGCCTATGCTGTGTCTTTTCAAAAGCATTAAGGAGCGCCAGACGCTTGGGCATTTATTCATTTAATTGGCCAGAATATTAATTTATTCTGGCAACTGAAATGAAAAAAGCGCTCAAGCGCCAAACGCGCCTAGCATTAACACGCGTTTACAGGCGTCAAGCATTTTTCTTTTCTTACAAAATACTTCTCTCGAACGCACACCTGATTGTTTTTTTCTCTGTCTCTTAACTCCTGTAAACACCTATGTGTGCATGGATACATAGGCTAACATAGAGGGGAGTTTAGAGTCAGAGGAGAGAAAAAAAAAAAAGCTAAAAACGCTTGTAAAAGAAGCATTATTGAGCTCAAGCATGCACAAGGCCTAAAACTTCTGGGACATTCAGAGGCAGCAATACCTTAGATTTCACACTGCAGAAATATAGACACAGGAGTGACCAGGCACACTTACATGCCAGACAGTGCACTGCTAGTTTTCAAGAGGAATTCTAGATAAAAGGGTACATTTTCAGGCACAATTAACATTTTCCCTTCAACATAGGAAGTCTTCAATTTTTGAGTTCAGATCCAATATAATAAATAAGGTCCAGAAAATCCAAAGTTATTCTAACATGGCACAGCTTCCCCATGTCAGAACTGCCTTCCTTTATGCCACACCTTTAAACTTGTAACATACATCCCTACAGGACTTTGTTTCTGGCGGAACTTACCAGAACGGGGTTCTGGTGCGTCTGCCAGAGACAGTGAGGGAGCAAAGTACTCCGTATTGCTTATCTGGGCGGGTGAAGAGTGAGCTGGCAGCTGCAACAACTCACATAGTTATGGCTGCAGATTGAGAGAGCAGAGCCTCTCCCTGCAGACCAGATGCTCCTTTTGCCACCAGCCATAGCTCAGCTGTGAGGAAGAGCTGCAGTCAGTGCAGGTAGCCTGTCCTGACTGACTGCTCAGTGTTCACTGTGGAGAAAAGTTGTTAGACAGTTTTTTTTTGGTAAATTGATGGACAATGTTGCTGGAAAGGGCTGTGTGTGTCTCTTTGCTCTATAGAGATAAGTAGTCTCTTCGCTGGATTGGGCCATCTCTTTGCTGAAAATATGGGCATGTTTCTTTGATGGATTGGGACATCTCTTTGTTGAATATATGGGGATGTCTCTTTGCTGGATTGGGCCATCTGTTTGCTGAATATATGGGGATGTCTCTTTGCTGGATTGGGCTATCTGTTTGCTGAATATATGGGGATGTTTCTTTGCTGGATTGGGCCTTCTCTTTGCTGAATATATGGGGATGGCTCTTTTGCCGGATTGGGCCTTCTGGTTGCTGAATTTATGGTTCTGTCTCTTTGCTGTATATATAGACCTTGTCTCTTTGCTAGAC